TTTTGTTCTTTTATTTTTTTTTTATAGAAAACCTGGAATTTATTTATTTGTTTATAAACCAACAACAATCTTTCCTTCCTCACAATTTTAGAAGCATTTCAAAGCCACTTGTTTAAAACAAAAATATAACCATTTGTAATTCTGCTGGCTAGACTTCTGGCTTTTACAAGTATATATGCACATGTAATATTGCTTAAAATTCAAAGAGTTTAAAATAATTACATTTAATCAGCCATTCATGTTTGTCACTGAAACTCAATCCTAAACCAGAAGCAGTTTTGTTCATTATAAATAATTTTTCCTCAAATTACAGCTGAATATTCACATCATTGAGTAACTTTGTGACATTGTCATATCAAATATCTTCCTGTTCAACTGTTATTTGAACATGATTAATATGCTAATCTTCTTTTGCAGCCTGTTATCTTCTACTTGGATAAATAGTTCTGTCCATCTGCTGCCTGCCAAATACCCTCTTTGTGCATTTGTTGTTGGGGTTTGATAAAATTTGGCCTATTCCTCTAGTATCTCTGTTATGTTAAGTGCTGTTATCAGTGTTCTGCTAAGCACCCATATGTCCATCTGGAATCTAAGAAACAGAAACTGTCTGTATCAATTTGCAATTTGACTTCCTTCCCCATGCCTTGTAACCAGTGCTTTTGACTGCACTAACTAAAACTGTCAAAACTTTCATATTTCACTGCTGTCACATAAGGAGAATAAAAAAAAAATGGTTACTTTTTAGAAGTTTTCATTCTTTCACAAAAGTGGCTTATAGGGAAATTGTACATTGAACATTATCTTTGTTATTGAAGGGAGAGTAAAAAAAAAAAAAAAAGAATACAAAATGGTGAACTAGATAAACCTTCTATTGTTTTTCTTTTTGTACAAATTCCTTTAGTGAATAAAAAAGTAAAAACATATCCAAATTTCTTCAGAATCTATTTGTACAGCTATGAAATCTTCACTAATTCCTAATCTTTTCTTTAACTCATCTCCAGAAAGAAAAGATTTTGTGCCGAATAACAATCTTGTATAAACCTATTCAACTCATAAAGGTTGCTTTTCCAACTGGATTGAAATCTATGCAGTCATTGAGATGCATTTTAATAAGCCTATTTGATGATTGTTGAAGAGAAATGAGTTAGACAAGAGGCAGCAGCCAGGAAAAAGAGAAGCAAAAAAAAAGCAAATTATGAAATTGAAATCATAATTTCTACTTGGCATGCTCAGTGCCATTGTTTCCAACACAAGAAACTCCTGCCACACGATATAATCAAATTAACGCATAGAGTACAACAGATGTTATAGTTTTATTAAGCATATTTTAACATGTTCACTTTTTGAAAAATTACTTTTACGGCACTGGCACCTATTTGTAACAGACAGCTGAATTATTTTTCCTCATCTTGGAATTTTTCAGAAAACAAAAGTATACACACACACACAGCAAATGCATATCACTGCTTCTACCAAAATAAATGGTATTAAGTCTTCAAACAATATAATAGTAAGGGTACAAGTTTTGCAATTGAAATTGAGTCTTTCCATGAGCTTAAAAAATGTTTCCTTATGCCAAAGTTTACCTGACCCAACAAATTTAAGCCACATTTTTGCTTATACAGTAGGAAGCATCCCTGTGAAGTGTATTCCTACACAAAATGTCTAAAGAAATTTTGGTTTCATTTGCAGTAACTTCTATTGTTAAATTATTTGATTATGAATAGCCTGGTAACAAATGGTGAGACCTAATATTTCAAAATTTGTCTATATTGGAGGATTGTTTAGACAGGGCATGAGAAAAGAGACAGTGAAAATCTAAATGTTTCCCATATATATATATATATATATATATATATTGTGTGTGTAATACTGTGGGTAAGCAAATGACAAAATGAAAAGCTATTAATATGATATATAGATTTGTATATTACATCTTCCATATAATATTGTTTACAATTTGATATATTTATTGGAAAAGAGTTCACAGTATCAGAGATAGAGAATTTATTTTATATATATATATATATATATATATATATACAGTGTGGACATAAAAATAAGTTTCATGCCACAAGTGATCTTCAAAACTAGTGTACATAATGTCTTAAGCAAACTTCAGACCAAGTGTGTGTATATATATATATATATATATATATTTATATTATTGAGTGCTGGTGCTAATAAAATAGTGCTTGGTGTATAAGAGATACAATTTATATTAATAATAAAAATACATTTTTTCCTCACCAATAGCACAACCGTGTTTCATGTACAGTGCAATTGCCAGATTCTGATTGATCAGAACCTGATGATTGCATTGTGCATGAAACATAGTCATGCTACCAGTGAGAAGAAAATGTATTTTTATTATATGTATAAATATTAGTCATTAAATGCAATCAGTGTCAGAAATTTAATATTTACCAATATTGCATGTACAATTTATAGCTTAAAACATCAAATATAAGTTTTTGCCTAAAATTTATAATCATAAAGGTTTAGTTGGAGCTTTTTTGGGGGGGTTCTTCATTTTTTTTTTTTTTTTTTAAAGTTATTTTCAGTTTTTTTTAAATTATCTGAACTTCTAATATTAAAGAACTTTTAAAAACTGAGCATTTGTTAAGACAGCAAATAAACATATTTCTCTGAAAATGGCTGACATATTTTGATGTAGGGAATAACTAAAAATAAAAACTGTTTATGAAAAGGTAAACAAAAATCATTTTTACCTTAATTATAATTAACACAATATTGCTTAACTTGCATATGAAGTATAGTTATTTCGATTTGACTTTAAGATAGTTTATTCTTTCAACAAAATTACAAATAAAGATATCTGCATAACATGAATTTTTTTAGCAATATTGGAGGCTAAATAATATGAATTGATAAGTTAAATTCACTCATGCAAGAGCAAAGGTAAAATTGATGTCATTACCTCAGTTACTGATGATTTGTTGACAAAGAACTTTCAACTTTTGATTGATTTCTTTGTAAATTATTAAATTAATGAAGTAATTTTATTTTGTCCAATGTTTAAGCATTGTTTTTATAAAATTTCATTATAAAATCCATTGATATTTTGGAGATATCTTCCTCTATCTAACAAGTTAAAAGTAAAAAGTAGACAAAACAAAAATAATTTCCATTGTATTTCCAGTTTTTTTTCTCTATATAAATGTCACTTTTAAATCTCTTTTCTTCCTGTCTGCATTTCACTTGTTAGAGTTGTGAAGTAACCAAATGATATAGTATTGTCATGTCAAATATTCCCAGTTTTCTGACATCTATATTGGATTGCTTTCTTTAAAATAAATACAAAAAAAAAATCCAAAGACTGGTACATTTATTTTTTGTTTTTCATATTGATGTAAGTATCTTTCTTCATCTTTGTGTGTATATGTGCCTCCATCACATTTAAAAAAAAAAACTTAGTAGTTCTATATTGGACAGTTGAGTGAATTGCCCTGTCCAGGTTCTTTGTTAGAATAACAGCGATAAAAATGACAAACATCCTCAAAGACTTGATATTTACTAAATTATCTTCTTTTTTTTTTTTTTTTTTTTTCTCCCAAGACATTGTTCTGGTCTTTTAATTTCTTCCTTTTTTTTTCAAGTGAAAAAACAATTTTTCTTTGTTTTCCATCTTTTTACTGAGTTTAGCCATTAATCTGATAAAGTCCAATATATGGTCAGCATTGATAGCCTCTGTTGGCAGTCAGTCACTGAGTGCTCTTATCTACAGTAAGTTAGCTTTATTTTCTATACATTTTATGATACTCTTTATCCTTTGTTGTTTTAATTGTTTAATGATAAAACTTCACAATTTAAAAAAAAATGTCTCTTTAAAGAATGAGAATGTAGAATAAAAAGCTGTCTTTTGTCTCGTCAGAAAATTCAGTTCATTGTCTGAACAAAAAGTCAAAATCTCATTTACAACAGATAAGTAAGTGTTGATTAATAACAATCACATCCCAATAGAAAATAATATAATGAAGAAATAGTAGTGTATCAACAGTTGAGGGTGTGGAGATATAATTTTGGTGCCCCCACCTAAGTTACTCTGAAATATCTGACTATATGTTTTGTAACTTATTGCCCTATGAATGACAATAACAAAGAATCAATTAGCACTTTACCCAGGCCAAAAATAAAATTCCAATAACAATTGTAAAACTGGAACAAATGCTAAGTTGGCTTACATAATTTACAAATTGTTTTGAAATTCATATAATCTAGTAATTTTATTGTTCAATATAACAGCTCAAGGTAAATCAATGTTATATTTCTAATTCAGAGTTCTAGAAATCACTTGGAAAGTCATTTATTTGTGCAACTGTGGTGTATGAAACAGAGAAAATAGTATATCTTATAGATTTAGTTATGTTTAAATTTTAAAAAAGAAAATGGAATTCATGGCTACATGGTTACCAGAAAAAAAATTGTACCCCTTCAAATCTGTGTCTGTGGCAACTGCCCCTATCTTATCTCAACATTACACCACCTCTGGAAGAGTCCAGGTTATTCAATGAACCTCTCTCCCATGTGTAAATATTTAATTCTATATCATAAAAGCATGTCTTTGCCTTTCTGTGGCTTTTAATCATATAATAAAAATTCCCTACAGAGTTTTTGTTTGGTTGATTGATTTTGTTTAGTGGTATACAACACCTCTATGGGTTATTTAATGCTGAAATCTAAATATCTTGATTGGCTTGGCTTGGTTGATTATGTTTAGCAGCATATTAACCTCTATGTGTTATTTAATACCTAAATCTAAATATTTTGCATGCAATTTTTATTTATTTATTTTTTTTTTTAGATAATAATGGTTTACTGATACAATAATAATTAACCCATAGATGGGGGAAAAGGTGGATTCATATCTTTTCCAAGGGTATTTGCATGTATGTGGATATAACAAAACAAACTGGAATTGGAACTCAGCTCTCCAATTAACAATTCTGAGCTATTATCCATTACACCAACCACACGTTTGCAGTATTTGGCATTCCCAAGCAGTCACCCATCTAGGTACTGACCAAGCTTGATGTTGCTTAACTTTGGTGATCCTATGGCAACTGGCGTTTCAACGTGATGTGGCTATATATATATATATATATATATGAGAGAGAGAGTTGTTATCTATATTCTTAAAATGCACATTCAGAGTACAAAATATGTTAACAACAATAATAAAAAAAATGTCAGTTGTCCTTTTGACTATTGCTATTCATATCCACCTTCCAGGATTATCACCTTTATCAGTCTCATTTGAAAATCTAACAAACACTAAAAACCTTGTCCAGTCTAATCTCAAACAGATTAACTTTGATATGTTTTGGGATCTTTTGAAGGAAAGTTGGGGAAAGTCTGGCGCTTGGGTTATTTAAACACTTGTCATTAATGTTCCAGCCCCATCTTCCAAAATGCAAAATCTGTGGAAAAATCTCTCTTGGTATTTACCCAATCTGCCAACTTCAGTCCTAACCTTAACATTTCATTGTAAATATTGGTTCTAGATTTGGGAAGCCATGATAGTTGTTTTGGGGTTTTTTTTAAGGATAGGAAGAGACAAAGACAATCCATTTTGAACCACTGTCTCTCTTTCTCTCTCATCATTATTTATTCTCTTTAAGCTTCTACCCACATAATTATACAAATCCCCATTAATCCAGTACAAAGAGGTTGTTCCAATTCTCTCCTAATGTTTGTAAATAGATTGAGAAGTTGGGAAAAACAAGTGATAAGAACCATTTTTAGACAAAATCACCAACAGCTTTACACTCTTATCTCTCATTAACCCAGCCACTGTCAATTACACCCCACATCTATACCCTCTCTCCAATACATGTCACCTCTTCCCCTTAGAATTATTTTTGATGTGTTGAACATATTTTGTTTTAGTGTTGGGAACTGTGTTGGTCGTTTGAATGAAGAGTAGATTTGATTTTCATCAGAAAGTTATAAAATGCTTCTTTTATAGTCTGCGTCATTGTGTAAAAAGTCAAACTAAATATAATATGTTGTGGTGTAGTACCATTCCTCTGCAATGTGTTTTTATTTGATGAATTGGCTTTAATTAGATTTCATACTGTTGATGCCATCCTTTAGCCTCAAAGGCAGTCGTGCGTTTTAGTGTGGAACATGATAAGATAGAATAAACATAATTGCAATAACTGAAATAGAGAGGGGGGGGGAGAAATTATGGCTTATGTGATTTAACATCACCAACCATATATTCTTGGTAACCTATTGGTATCTAATTTAAAATGGAAACTGTCTTTATAAAAGAAATAAAATGTACACATTTAGAGATTTAAAAAAGAAAACAAAGATGTTTTTGACTGCATGCAGTACAGTTTAGTTGGAAGACAGCTTGAAACTTGCAGATACAAATTTCACTGATTGATATAAATATTTTTTTTTTAAAAGTGAATGTCACTAAACAGGCTATGATTCCTGTTGCTATGTGTGAAGTTAATAAATCATCCTTAAGTCTTTAATATAGCCAAAGGATAAGTGTTTTTTAGTTTTTGTTTTAAATCTAATTAACCTGATGTAATAATGTTAATAATATTGCTTTATTGAATCATTAGTATGAGTGTAAACAAGTACAATTTATTGTTATTTAATGTAATTAGTTATTTTATTAATACCTGTCCCTTTACATAATAAGTTCAATGGTTTATGCAAACTCTTGTACAACAATATAAATGAATTTCAAAATAAAAAAAAACAAATTTAGTTAAGTAAATATTTAATTTTTCTTGTGTGTTTTTATATTAGGAATTATGTCAGTAAGTTTCTAAGTTTTCTAATTTAAAATAAAATGGAAAAAAGTAATTTCAATCTTGATTAATAAAATTATTCATGCCCAGTAGAAAAACATAAGAAGAAATTGATTGCCTCTCTTGGGTTTAGAGAGAATATTTTCTAAAATGCATCCCATAATAAAATTGCATATGTTTGTTATTCGTATTGTTTCTATGTCTTCATTAGTTTATTGGCTTAGTATTCCTTTTTCATGGTTTTGAATTAATTTTCCTTCTCTTAGACTGGCAGCCATCCAAAGCTAGTACATTGGGCTTTTGAATCCATAGCTTGGAAGCAATTCCTGATTTTCCCAAGAGCATTTATGTAAAAGTAAACAAAATAGAGTCCAGAATTTGAGTTCAGCTTACCAAATCTATTTTCAACACTGATAACCATTACACTAAACTATGGCCAGTGCGTACTATTTCTGAATGCCTTGATGGGGTGGTAAGCCTGATTGGGGGCCCCAGGCAGTACTTTGTGACCCTTGCTATCTTATCAACATTTGGTTTTTTCTACCTACATTTATATATGCTACAAATTAAACTAAATACATCTTTTTAAAAGATGAAAAATTTTTGCAGATTTTGATGTCATACTGGGTTCTTTTTTTTTTTTTGTCCAAATCTGTGAATTTATTTTGCTCATGCTAAGTCTCAAAAAACACTATATAAAATTCACTAGTTTTTATCCATAATGTTGAACATGTTAAATTATTCAAAATCTCAAGTTGATGTTAAAAATTGCCATGAAACATTGGTGATTTAAGATGGAATGATCTATTATTACATGTCTCTAACTTGTATTTAGATACATTGTATTTATTTTCAATTTTTCTAATTGAATTGTTCACCTATATTGCATGTGATCCATTATTGTACATAATTAGTTTCAATAAAACTTGTATTTAATTATGTATACTACCTTATGAAAATTGAGTTGTAGTAGAGTTGGGGGGGGACTGATATCAAAGATTCAAGGGTGGACATCATAGATTTGCAGGGAGGTGGACATGAAATCCTTACATCCAGGCTCATTATTATATTGTTAATAGCAAATAATCTTTCTCTCTCTTACACACACACATATACTGTGTGTATATCCATATGAGAGAGAGAGAAATCAACTTTACTACTGATTAAAAGCCAAAACCCCAAAAAATAGAAATAAAGAAGCACTATACAAAAGTAGTACTATTCTATGCAATCTTGAATTGTATTCTTAAAAATATTAAATATATTATTCAAAATACAAAATTCTAGGTCTGGGATTATTCAACAATCAAATTAATATTTTCTGGTATTCTATTAAAATGAAATGCATGTCCATGGTAGGAGTTTTATTTATTTCATTAGTCCTTCAACAGAGAACATATACAATCATCAGAATCAAAGAGATAACATAGACAGCAAGGCATAGATGGTAGATTTAATCATTTAGAGACAACTTCAGAAGATACTTGTTATGAAGATTGATGATTTCCTCAGCAGATATATCCTTTTTCAAAGGGACAAACAGTAATAACAACAAACAGGACAATGCAGTAAATAAACACAGAAAATCCAAATCATTAGGTTGAATTATTTTCCTGTGTTCTCCTAATTAGCTCAGTTCTCTTTTTTTTTATGAGTCAGATCACTAGAACACTTTGAAACATTTAAAAATAGGGAAGATATCAATTTAGTAATAAAAACTCAAAAAATTTTTTTTTTTTTAATAAGTTACCACTCATTTTGGTCAATTCATTTATCTTATTTTTATTGATTCATATTAATTATTGCCCCAACAGCTCTTAGTAACCCTGCCAGTTATTACAGTCTGGGTGGTATCTTATTTCAAATTCACACTTTCTCAAACACCAATAAGCACTTAGACATTTACACAAACAAGCACATCTGGAAATCTCTTATTCTTTGTTTCTTTCATAGGTAAATGGCAGTTTTTAAGTTGATTTCCAGACTTTTAGTACCCAACTATCCCTTTTCTGCCAGTCAAACCTTTGGAGACCTCTGGTCAGCAAGTGAAAAAGGAAAAGTGGATTTGAGCTTATATATGTTGATTTTGTTTTCACTTAAATATATTTTTTTTTAATTTGCAACACAATAGTTCTAATTTTCACTCAGCTCCTCTGATTCCTTTTATTTCAAAGAAATTTATATTCAAAACAGAGGATGGAGTGTGTGTATATGTATATATATATATATATATATATATAAAAAGAAGAGAGATACCACAAACGTTTTTGGTTGTAATGTGGATTTTTTTTTTAAATATTATGCTTTATTTTCCATAATTTTACTACACGTTTCTGGTCTCGTGACCATCATCAGGTAAAGGGTGGAGATTTACACATTTTATTAAAAATAATTAATTTTTTCTCCTTTATGTTTTCAATGTTAAATATTCTCAATATGGGACACTCTTTTTTGTGTTAGTAATCCGAATTTCTTTCTTGAACTGGCAGTGAAGAGTTCTGCGCGAAGGGTCATAAAACAATTAAGATTGGTCCAAGAGAAATGATGAATTAGTTATCAGTGTCTTATCTTTTAATGTTTTAATGACCCCTGTGTGTTCTTAGATCTATTTCCATTTTCGTGTGTTTCTGTCACCTCTTCCTTTATATATATATATATATATAAAAGACAAAAGGAAAACTTATCTTAGCCGACCTGTTTTGTCCCCTGAGGGACTTTATCAAGGCAAATGCAAGGATTTTATTTTGTAACGAGTATTTATTAGACATTGTATTGTGTCATGTTGTGTCCTCCATACTTTGGTTGAATTTTCAGCTTACTTGATGAATATTTATGAGTGTTGCTGAACTTAAAAATTTTGGAAAACCAATAACATTTATGCTCTTGTATATAAATATTTTTGCACAAATGCCCTTGGAAAGGTATGAATCCATCTCTTCTCCTCCCATCTATGGATTAAATAGCAAAGCAAACTCTGTAGTCTTGATTGGCAACCAATCTAGGAGAAAGACAGTTCTGAATCCAAAACCAGTTGGACATAGGGCTAGCAACTCCATCTCATAAAACTTATTTGCTATTGGAACCTCAGCAGCAACACATAGCATGGTGAGGCTGTGGCTCTATACTCTACAGTGGAGTCTACAAGGTTTACATCAATGATGTACATTCACATATATAAACAAAGATTTACAAGCCTTTTCCTCTGTACTATTTGCATATAAATCATTTGTTCAAGTCCACATTATATACACACACACTTTCCGCACCTATTCATATACACAAACTTTCCATACATATACTCATGCATTCTTC